TTTTCTAGTCTTCCCAGTTCGGACCTTTCTGCCTGCCCTGACCCTGAGCTTGCCTGCCGTTCTGTCCCTTGTTGACTCTGCCTTGGATTACGAACCTCTGATTGCCCTCGACCAGCCCTTTTGCCTGACCCTTTGTGATAATAAATATTCTGAGAACCGAACCATCCGCCTCCTGTGTCTGCATCTGGGTCATATCCTGAGTCGTGATATTACTAGCAACTGGCAAGCTGTATCAGGCAGCTTTGATGTGAGGGGAAAACGAATAGCTATATTTGCTAAGCTATCCATCTGATTGAAAAGTTGATAAAAATGCCATTAGCTAGCTACAGTGAGGGAAAAAAGTATTTGATCCCCTGCTGATTTTGTACGTTTGCCCACTGACAAAAACATGATCAGTCTATAATTTTAATGGTAGGTTTATTTGACCTGTGAGAGACAGAATAACAACAAAATAATTCAGAAAAACGCATGTCAAAAATGTTATAAATTGATTTGCATTTTAATGAGGGAAATAAGTATTTGACAACGTTTAGATCCGAAACTGATCTTCATCAGGTCAACTAGTTGAAACCCAACAGAGCTGATAGAAATATAATAATAATAAGCCATTTAGCAGACGCTTTTATCCAAAGCGACTTGCAGTCATGTGCGCATACATTTTTAGGTATGGGTGGTCCCGGGGATCGAACCCACTACCCTGGCGTTACAAGCACCATGCTCTACCAACTGAGCTACAGAGGACCTCAAATATTCACACCATTTTGTGATAATGGTTACAACAAATTACATGGAATCCAGCTAAGCTATTATTTATATAATGGCACCATGTATCATTTTACTAACAATGATGTTCAATCATGATGTTCCTTATTTGACTGCAGTTAGCTGCTTAGCCAGTTGCAGCCTATGATTGAGGCTGCATCAGGCTAAGCCAAACTGCGTCCAATAGGGTCATTAGCCTAGCTAGCTAGCTAGCTAAATTATAACCCAATTAATTCTAGAAGTATTGACTCTATTGCTTAAATCAGAAAGTAGGCTTCACCTTTGAGTTACATCTGTAGGCATTCACTCGCTAACTTCATGAGCTAACTAGCCAACATGCATTGTTTCCTTATTTAATTGTATTTCTTTCCCTTTATTTTAAAAAACATTTTCATGTCATTTTTTTTTATTCTCTTTGTTTTTATTTTATTTATTTTTTTCACAACATTTTATTTGTACCTCATTTTCTCCCCAATTTCGTGGTATCCAATTTGTAGTTACAGTCTTGTCCCATCGCTGCAACTCCCGTAGGAACTCTGGAGAGGGGAAGGTCGAGAGCCATGCGTCCTACGAAACACAACCCCGCCAGCCGCACCAATGTGTCGGAGGAAACGCCGTACACATGGCGACGTGTCAGCGTGCGCTGCGCCCGGCCCGCTACAGGAGGACAAGAACATCCCTGCCGGCCAAACCCTCCCCTAACCTGGACGACGCTGGGCCAGTTAGAAAATACGACTCCTTTTTGCCTACTCCCATCTATAGGTCTTCTTCTAGGTTCAAAACGACATGGCTGTAGTCCGGTGCTTCATTGTCAAAAGAAACCCACTCGCACACTTCCATCTGTTGCAGCCAAAAAGTATTTGCCTGAATCTACATCAAGCCTGGATAACATTCTAGTTATTTTTTTCATTTTAGTCATTTAGCAGACGCTCTCATCCAGAGCGACTTACAGTTAGTGAGTGCATACATTTTCATACTGGCCCCCCGTGGGAAACGAACCCACAACCCTGGCGTTGCAAGCGCCATGCTCTACCAACTGAGCTACAGGTTCTCTGTTTATAGTTCATATTTGTATGGTGCGCGTGCAGCCCAGAAGTATATAATTGATTACATCTCCAATTTACAATGTCAGATTGAAAAAAAAAGTAACATATCAGATTCATAAATATATACACTACTCATTATTATTATTTATTTTTAATTAAAGTAAAATATGGGCTTTAAACCATAGCCAAGAGTTGGGATTCTTTAATCTGCAAGAAGAGAACATCGGATTCTACTTGACCCAGGAGGCTCCACAGATGGTGCTGAGAAAACATGAACACCCCCAATCCCCATCAGTCTCTATGAAAGTTTGATCACATAGAAATAATCACTATAAATTATTGTTGCAACAATAATAATAATATTTTGAAAGGGAACAGGCTTTTGAACTTTTCTGGAATGGTTGGGAACCCACTGTGAGATAAAGAAATAGATGCTTAAAATAATGACTATTTTTAATGGGTTACGTTGTGCTTTGTGATGTTTGATGTTAGACGTACTTTATGATAACACAATTATGACACATATCGGTAATGATGTGTGGGAGATTAGTATTATAAAGGACTTGTGTTTTCCTACTGTGTTGTTAATGTGACCGACAGGCAAGCAGCTAGTGCATATGAAGAGTAATAATCCTCTATTCTGCATCACTTGTCCACATACAGGGAGTTATCAACAGGAGGCAATGTACAGTACATCCAGGGAGTTCTCTCTCTCTCTCTCTCTCTCTCTCTCTCTCCTCTCTCTCCTCTCTCTCTCTCTCTCTCCTCGCACGCTCTCTCTCTCTCCCTCTCTCTCTCTCCTCTCTCTCTCTCTTCTCTCTCTCTCTCGATCTCTCATCTCTCTCCTCTCCATCTCTGCATCTCTCTCTCTCGTCGGGACTCTCTCTCTCTCTCTCTCTCTCCTCTCTCGCTGCTCAGTCCTCTCTCTCTGGGTCACCTCTCGTCTCGTCTCAAACGTCTCATCTCTCTTCTTCTCGTCTCTCTCTCCTCAGTTTGATCTGAAGCAGGATGAACTCATGAAAAGACATGACCTCTCAGTATTATTCTTAGTAAGACCCATGATGTGGTCTTACGGTTAGTGAAGCACACACACACACACACACACACACACACAAAGACACACACAAAGACACACACAAAGACACACACAACAGCCTGATCCTGACACATACGCTATTACCATAACCAGGGGTCTGCAACCTGTGGTTCTACTGTAGAGCCCCTTGGGGCTTTTTAACTGCCCCGTTGTGGCTCCATGATGATCAATAATTCAAGCTGCGCGAGGAATGAGCTTAGAACAAAGATTCTCTGTTTATTGACACAAATCATTAACTATCTCATCTCAGGTACAACACACGTCCAGCAAAAGCACAAAAAGAGTGAAAAGCCATTGTCCTCTGCAAGGGGTTTTACATTTAAACAGCATTATCCTTTGCTAGGTGAGTGGGAGGGGGAGATACATTTAAACAGCATTATCCTTTGCTAGGTGAGTGGGAGGGGGAGATACATTTAAACAGCATTATCATTTGCTAGGTGAGTGGGAGGGGGAGATACATTTAACAGCATTATCCTTGACTAAAAGGGCTACTTTAGTTTAAAGAATAGGGTGATGATGATTCAGTTGAAGAGAGAAGAGCCGTAGGACTGAACCCAGGTCTCCAGGATACATTACTTGATACATTCTATTCTTTTGTATTCTTCTGAAAAATAGGAGCTGGATATGAGATAGGAGCCTCCCACACGGTCCAACTAAACATAGACAGAGAAGCAAAGCCGGTGCCAACAGCAAGGGGGTGATACAAGAACATTAAACAAAAAAAAAACTCAGAATGGAAAAAGAAACGTTCTAAGAACAAACAAGTGAAAAAGCAACAACATTTGCAACACCCCCCACCCGAAATCCCACAGGTAACTACACTACCTCTTTACCCCGCCCCTCCCTATCACTCTCTTTTATAGGTACAGCATCATATAGCAAAAATACATTCATAAGGTAGCAGACCAGAATGGTAAAAAACACTCATGCAAATCCAGGCTGTTTTACACAGAGTCACAAACACAGGAAAGTCTTTGGCCGGGATTCAATCCAGTAGGCACGCTGTAGCGCAGTTGACAATGCGGCTTTTAAAGCCAATCTTCCCGCGTTTGCGGAGATTGCATTCACTGTAAAAGCTGCAGATATTGACTCAATTGGAAACTCCATTTAAATGTCAAGCGCGCTACTACACAGCTCTGATTGAATACCGGCCTACTTCTCATACAGTACAACAGTGTGCCCCAACAGTCAGTGCCTTCAGGGACCGTATTCATAAATCGTCTCAGGGTAGGAGTGCTGATCTAGGATCAGATTTGCCCTTTAAATCATAATGAATAAGAGGGGGGACCTGATCCTAGATCAGCATTCCTACTCTGAGACACTTTGTGAACACAGGCCCAGGTCTTCTCATGGATGTTCATGAAGTTGTTGTTTACTTGTTTACATACTTTTTTATTTGCTACTGAAGGGATAAAAAGGAAATGTGTGTGAGACAGATGGTGGTCGTACACTCTGTGGTCTTCTGCACACCATATCCTGGTTCACCCCACCGTTCACCAAATAATGTCCCAGTTCTCCCCGTTTTACTAGGTTCTCCTAGGTTCTCCCCTTATCTGTCCGAAGGGTGAGGTTCTCCCTCTCTCTGTCCGAGGGCCGATGGGGGGGTCCTGGTTGGCAAACAGTTTATAACCAATAGTTATATATAACCCATAGTCCTTTGCTAGGACCCCGCTGATACCCATAGAGTTTACGTCCAGGAGGGAGGAGGGAGTTACAATACTTCCAGAGACAGACACAGAGCCACAGAGACAATCTTCTATGATGGTTACTATCCATTATTTAAAAAAGAAAGGCGTGATATTTTTTTGGCATCTGTTATTTTCAGTCCAATATATAGTTTTGAACTCTAGATGTATCATGTTCCCTTCATTTTTAGTAAACAGTTCTCTTTTTAATTCCAATCGATGTGCACATTCATTCACGTTGCAGTTCCAGTCATGGTTGATGTAATCTCTCTAAAGACAGTCTTATGATATTACATACTATATATGCTGCTCTTTCCATAAAGTCTTTCTCTTATAGATATACAGTATATTCATATATAGGATGATCTCTCTCTATTCTCTATATAGTATATTATAGTCCTGTCTCCATGGTTACAATTCCTGTGAGCTGATGACGTGGAACAGTGTGACGTTGTACAGAACCTGGTGTCCGTTGTTCCATGCATAGAGAGCACGGTCCCGAGGGTTGTAGTCAAGCATGGAGATATGGGAGTACTTGTTCTGGAAGGCGATGTCTATGTACTCGTATGTGGAGGAGTTAGTGCTGTAGGCATAGTACACCTTAGTCCCTCCAGAGTAACCGTTGGTAACATAGAGAGTACCACAGATCATGAAGGCTTCGCCGGCGCTCCTCTTGGGGTGGTTGGTAGTCCAGCTCTTGATGATCTGAAGCGTGCTGGGGTTCAGCTTGCTGATGACGATGTTTCCAGCGTTCTGATTGGTGGCATAGACGGCCCAGAGACCGCCCTCGTCCACCATGAGGTCGATGTCGGAGTGGCCGCCCCAGGCATAGTGATACATGTTGTTGAAGCCGGCGTTGTCCAGCTGGCGTGCCTTGCTGATGGCGGAGGTCTTGAAGTCGAACTTGATGATGATGTGGCTCTGGAATTTGTTGAAGTAAATGGAGCCGTTGTAGACCACCTGACCTGTCCCGGACCACGGGTGGGGGAGGCGGTGAGACGTGAAATTGTCCGTCGTCATGAAGTCCGCCATGGACTTGTACTCCCGCACGAAGCGGTTGTTGTGGTAACCGTCCATGTACCAAACCTAACAGATGGAGATACAGACGAGTAGAGAGAAGAGAGGAAACATTAACACAGAGTCAGAAGCAACTTTATAATACAAACAAGATAAAACGCACCCTGCAGTCCTGTTAAAACCCTCCTATCAAACTCCTCAATGCACCATTATGTAGATAGAAGATTTATATATCACGCATCATTTCACACTGTAAATCAAATCACGCTGTCAACAGAAAGCCTAATTAAATCGGATGCTTGACTCAGAGCAGAGCGGGGAGCGGTGTTCCTGCCTCCTGACAGAGCAGACCAAGCTGAGATCCAGCCTGCTGCTTCAGAATACAAACAGTCAGGAATGACAGGAAGCTGCAGGTGGAGGCAGGCCGGGGTTGGGGATGAGCCCAGCCGCACAGGGATAATGAGGATCATTCTGGATAAAAGGTTCGTATTTTTTTCGCCTGTGGCTTTGGTTGGGGCTTTAAGGAAGTTTCCGGGGCGCCTGCCTAGACCACTTCCTCCATTTCCTCTATCCCTCCCTCCTCCATCCTCCATCCCTCCCTCCTTCATCCCTCCAAGCTCTGACACACCTCAACTTTCCCATCCCCTCTCCAGACAATTTTATTGGCTAATTCATCTTTGAAAGCCCGGATGTAAGGGCCTTAGGGGTCCAGGAAACACCATCACCAAACTTTAATGTTCTCCTCTTACTTAGAGAGAGAGAGAGAGAGAGAGCGAGAGAGAGAGCGAGAGAGAGAGAGAGAGAGAGAGAGAGAGAGAGAGAGAGAGAGAGAGAGAGAGAGAGAGAGAGAGAGAGAGAGAGAGAGAGACCCCACACAAACAGACCTCACAGAGCCCCAGGACAGAAACACATTTAGTTCCAACCAAATTATGAGAAAGCAAAAAGTTAACTATTTGACACACTGGAAATAATCAACCAAGAAACAGAGCAAATTGGAATGCTATCTGGCCCTAAACAGAGAGTACACAGTGGCAGAATAACTGACCACTGTGACTGACTCCAAATTAAGAAAATCCTTGACTATGTACAGACTCAGTGAGCATAGCCTTGCTATTGAGAGAGGCCGCCATAGGCAGACCTGGCTCTCAAGAGAAGACAGGCTTTGTGCACACTGCCCACAAAATGAGGTGGAAACTGAGCTACACCTCCTAACCTCCTGCCAAATGTATGACCACATTAGAGACACATATTTCCCACAGATCACACAGACCCACAAAGAATTGAAAACAAATCAAACATTGATAAACTCCCATATCTGTTAGGCGAAATACCACTGTGTGCAATCACAGCAGCAAGATTTGTGGCCCATTGCCATGAGAAAAGGGCAACCAGTGGAGCCCAAACAACATTGTAAATACAACCTATATTTATCTGTTTATTTATTTTCCCTTTCATACTTCAACTACTTGCACATTGTTACAACACTGTACACAGCCAATAATATAACATTTGAAATGTCTCTATTCTTTTAAAACTTTTGTGAGTGCAAGACTCTCACACTACCTTGTAACTCACAAGCAGCGCGTTACACAGAGAAACCACAAGTATAGAACAATAGCAGGGATACCCACATATGTAACATGTACAGTTTTCCATCGATGTACAGATGTTATTATGACTATGACAGTCATGTATGTTTATGTCTGCGTGAGCTTAATGTATTTGTGCTATAACCTCTAAACCCCAGATCTGCACATGTGTATGTTTTAAAGTCATATAAACATCTTGGCTGACACCCTCCCTTCATTAACAACCTAGCTGTCAGGGCTCAGGTGTAAACCACACATTTATTCTCTGCATTTGCATTTTAATGTGATTTAGTAATGAAAGCTAGGTCTGTCTATTCCTCCAACATATGCCCAGCCCAGGAGAGCTAACTCAGACATGGCCATTTAGTACAAAGGACGGACGGACGGACGGACGGACGGACAGACAGACAGACAGACAGACAGACAGACAGACAGACAGACAGACAGACAGACAGACAGACAGACAGACAGACAGACAGACAGACAGACAGACAGACAGACAGACAGACAGACAGACAGACAGACAGACAGACAGACAGACAGACAGACAGACAGACAGACAGACAGACAGACAGACAGACAGACAGACAGACAGACAGAGTAAACACATGAACATTAATCAAAGCTTCTATTAAGGTCAGACTCTGAAGAGTCAACTCTATTATGGGTGTGTCAGGGCTCTTAACAGCCTGGCCTCTTCAACTGAGTGCCATTAGTCATGTCATCTGAGTGAGATAGTGTGCATCACAAAGGGCACCCTATTCCCTACATAGTGCACAACTTTTGATCAGAGCCCTATGGGACATGGTCAAAAGTAGTGCACAATATAGGAATAGGGTACCATTTGGGATGCAGTGTAATGTGAAGCAGCTAGTGTGATCTTCCAGTAGCTACAGCAGTGAAACACAGTGCCAAGGTCAGGAAATCATTACCTTAATGTAGCTGGGCTTTAGACGCTACCGAGGTAAGGAAATCATTACCTTAATGTAGCTGGGCTTCACACGCTTTTGGAGCTTTAAAGAGGGGTAATTGTATTTTCTCCATGTTGATGGACGGCTGAAGTGTGTGTGTGTGTGTGTATACCCTGGTATCTCCTTCCGGTGCTGCAGGGTCAGTCATCCAGGATCCAAACCGGGATCCAGACGTCTTGATGGTGACAGGTTCGCTGATGCCCGTCAACTTCCCACATGCTGAAAAGGAATAACCAACATAGAAATACCTCTCATAGATACAACATATAATTCTCATAGATTCAACACTGCATTTGTATGATTCATATTGGCTAGTATGCTGTAATAAAGAAATAATCTTGTACTTACACACAATAACATCATTTACAAAACATTCACTCTTAGCCTTCATTCACAAAAGAACAATAGAATGTCTATATTGTTGTGTGTGTCCATGTCTAGGCCTCCATCTGTCTGTCATCCTCAGAGAATAAAGGTAATGGTCTTTGGTATTCTGTGCATTATGTTTGTGTCTGAGCGATGGAGAGAGATAGAGAGAGAGAGAGAGAGAGAGAGAGAGAGAGGGAGGGAGGGAGAGAAATGGGGAGCGAGAGAGAGAGAGAGATGGGGAGAAATGCGGAGAGATGGAGGGAGAGAGATGTAATTGTTGTTCCAGTTATGTAGGATCCATTGTGCTCATGCTGCTGCTACTTGTTCTATGCTGTTTGAGCTGAGCATATCGTTAATTAGGCTTGATTGAGGTGTTGATGTGAAGTTGACATATCTAGCGCTGAACGCTTGGCTGCGCCTCGTTCCCTGATGACAGCCAGGTAGTTTGATTAATGGGTTTATCATTATGAACAGATGGGGAACAACCTCGTTCCTGTTGTTAAATCTTAATGTCAACTAACGAACAAACAGCTCCAGTCCCGTCCCCCATTATACTCTCTCTCTTTCTCTCTATGCTTCTCTCGCTCTCTATGCGATTCTCCCTCTTTCTCTCATTCCCTCTCTGGCACTAATGTGGTTGTGAAATGCAATTATGGGAAGGAGTCATAGAATCCAGATTAGATTTCTGATTCTTCTTTTCCTGTCACTTTTACCCTCACTCTTTCTCTCATGTCTATCTGTCTTCACTCTTTCTACCACACGGTATTATTTTCCCACATTTTGAACGTTTCGGAAGTTAAAACTAGATCATTTGTGTGTTTAGCACACTTTTGATATGTATTAAATTAAATTAAATATATCAAGCACGTCCCTGTGTGTGTGTTTGAGTGTGAGTGTTTGTGTGTGTGTGCGCGCGTGTGTGTGTGTGTGTGTCTGTGTGTGCATGTTCCCTGCATGTGGGTGTGTGCTCCTGGGTATGTGTATTCATTCATGCCCTTACATGTGTATAGCTGTGATTATGAGACCTCAGCAGCCGCAGCAGCGAGACAAACACAACATCACATGAGCAAACAAACACCACTACTATCAGCCCCTTACATAATACCTCCGTGGGATTACAGACTATAGTAATAATTTGTGTTTATTTATTTATTTCCTCTAATCACCATGTTCCTATCTTTGGATTATGGTCGTCTGGACCTCGGGGAGAGCGAAAGATGCACATGAGGTCTAATCTAATCTCCTATTGGCCTGAATATGGTTCCAGCCAACCAGCGCTAGACTACGGGGAAATCTAACCCCAAAACCATCAGTCAGTCATTCTGGAATGGAATGATGATTTGAGGATTATGGAATCAGTGAATGAATGTGGACACATTAAAGAGGGAACAGCCTGATCCTAGTGTGAATGTGGAACCATTAGAGAGGGAACAGCCTGATCCTAGTGTGAATGTGGACACATTAGAGAGGGAACAGCCTGATCTTAGTGTGAATGTAGACACATTAGAGAAGGAACAGCCTGATCCTCCTTTATCTGATCTGATCTCTAAACTCTGTGAACTGTCTCCTGCTGAGTGACCTCTGACCTCTCCTTTATCTGATCTGATCTCTAAACTATGTGAACTGTCTCCTGCTGAGTGACCTCTGACCTCTCCTTTATCTTATCTGATCTCTAATCTCTGTGAACTGTCTCCTGCAGTCTGTTTCACTTAATCCTCACAGAACTCTACACAGATCAGAGGCTGCGCATGTGGCTTGATCTGGGGCTGCGTCCCAAATGGCACCCTATTCCCAATATAGTGCACTACTTTTGACCAGGGCCCTCAGGGCTCTGGTTAAAGGTAGTGCACTATATAGGGAATAAGGTGCTATTTGGGACACAACCTGTTAGTGAGGACTCTACCACTACTGGTCCAGGACTAATCATGTACTGGTAGGGATGAGGAGGTCATCAAGTCACATAGAGGGGGAGAGATGGGGAATATGAAAGAGGTAATGAGGGAGAGGCAGAATGTGTGTTGCAGATAGCAATTTCTATGTGTGTTTAGCATGTGTTAGAATATGTTTATGAATGAGAGAGAGAGAGGGGGGGAGAGACTACTTACCATGCTCTCCAGCTGTGTTTGACTGATGGCAGAATTGTGTGTGTGTGTGTGTGAATTTCTGTTTGTGTGTGTGTTTATAGGTCAGACAGTGTGCGTGTCACTGCATTCATAGCAGAGTAATTCAGCAGGCTATTGAAATGCAAACCCTACTACAGCTCTGAGAAGTGTTTTCCACCAACAGCCACTAGACAGCCTTGTAAGACTACACCGTAGGTGTGCAGTGCATTTATTAACACTGTAATAAATCACTAGGATGTTGTAGACTGAGATGAGATGGTTAAATAGAGTTGAGAGGGTGACAAAGAATTATACCTCAGATTGGTTACAGATTGTACATACAACTCACCTACGTATGTGTCACAGGCGGCTGGTGGCACCTTAATTGGGGAGGACGGGCTTGTCGTAGTGGCTGGAGCGGAATAGTGGAATGGTATCAAAAACATCAAACACATGGTTTCCATATGTTTGATGCCATTCCATTTACTCCGTTCCAGCCATTATTATGAGCCTTCCTCCCCTCAGCAGCCTCCACTGGTATGTGTTCAATGAGCAAATTCACCCTTGCCACATTGGCTAATTGGCTAAACAGAGACAGGCAAAAATATGGGATAATATTTTTTTTCTCAGTGTAAAATGGGATTAAACAAAGGGCGGCCTATAGAATATTGAGAAACAGGTGTTTGAAACAATTGTGAGACATACATGTAATACATATTTAACTGATAGGCTGTGTAATAGTATGTCTGCTCATGACATCTGGAAAGAAGCTAAGGTGTGTTCCAGTGTGTTGAGAGAAGGATGGTGTGTTTCTTTTCAGATGTTTCATGTGTGTATACAGTGTACCTTGATGTAGAATGTTTCTGAGGCGTGTAGTACATGTGCCTGAAGCTTTCACTCTAGTCTAACACCATACAGAAGTTATCCATGAACAATGTGGACAAGTGTGTGTGAGTGTGTGTGTGTGTGTGAGAGAGAGAGAGTGTGTGTGTGTGTGTGTGTGTGTGAGAGAGTGTGTGTGTGTGATAGTGTGAGTCAGAAACTTTCTCAGCCTACCTAATTTTTGCATGCATGCTCGGAGTCTCTCCTCAAGACCTGACACTCTGTTGTGGAGTTCCTCGTAGTCATAGGCTCCCATCTCTTCCTGGAGCTCGCTTAGAACTGACGTCAGATTCTGGACCTCCTCCTTAAACTGCAATACCAATTTGGCATCGGCTTTGTACTCCTCCAACACTGGTATCAACGGCCTAAGCTCCTCCATTTTCGATTTTATGGCCTGAAAGGATTGAAATAAGCTGGGTTCAGTGTCATGCCTGGAGACAAAAAAGAAAAGACTCCCAAAAAGTTTTTTTTAAAAGAAGAAAGCATCCATCTGGCCCTGACTACTCTAGCCTTGCCTACACTGACATTCTCTCAAAGTAACACAACAGCCCTGTGTGTTAGTGTGTGTGTGTACAGTGTGTTTGTGTGTGTCTGAGCAAACAAATCCAGTGAGTGTTCCACCGTATTGGCGAGCAAGCGGAGGCTCCGTCATGATGCAGACGAGCCGTTATGTTAAACACAAGCCCTCAGTACACCAGGAAACAATTGGGAAAGCTCTTTATTGGTCATCATCGTTTAAAATGCAATAGAGTTACATGCTTTTACATGTCACACACAACAAAGGGTTTCAGATGTTATTATCACTAATGTTTATAGGTACGTAGTAGTCTTTAGTAACCAAATATGCATAGACAAAAACCAAAAGTAAAAGAACAATAAAAATAATAATAACTGGAAACAACTAAATTTTTACTTTTGAAAAAGCCTTTTGATGGAAATGTTCTACCAGTAACATGCAGGAAAAGATCAGTGGTAGGTAGGTAGGTAGGTAGGTACACTCTTTAAAAAAAAAGGTGCTATCTAGAACCTTAAAGGGTTCTTCGGTTGTCCCCATAAGAGAACCCTTTGAAGAACCATTTTTGGTTGCAGATAGAACCCTTTTGGTTCCAGGTAAAACCCTTTTGGGTTCAACGTAGAACCCTTTCTACAGAATGTAGGTAGGTAGGTAGGTAGGTAGGTAGGTAGGTAGGTAGGTAGGTAGGTAGGTAGGTAGGTAGGTAGGTAGGTAGGTAGGTAGGTACGTAGGTAGGTAGGTAGGTAGGTAGGTAGGTAGGTAGGTAGGTAGGTAGGTAGGTAGGTAGGTAGGTAGGTAGGTAGGTAGGTAGGTAGGTAGGTAGGTAGGTAGGTAGGTAGGTAGGTAGGTAGGTAGGTAGGTAGGTAGGTAGGTAGGTAGGTAGGTAGGGTTGGCTGGCTGGTTGGTTGGTTGGTTGGTTGGTTGGTTGGTTGGTTGGTTGGTTGGTTATTTGGGAAAGGGGTAGGTGGGGTTTCAGGTAGGTAGGGTTGGCTGGTTGGTTATTTGGGAAAGGGGTAGGTGGGGTTTCAGGTAGGTAGGGTTGGCTGGTTGGTTATTTGGGAAAGGGGTAGGTGGGTTTTCTTAGTAGTAGTACTAATGGTGCTAAAGGTAAATCGTGAACGCTCGTAAATCTCGCAGTACTGTGGATTGACCTGCCCCTTCTTCTCTCTTTACATGTCCTAAAGTTAGCCCTGCAAGCAAGAACATAACATACTGTTGACATCTAGCTTACTAACCTATCTGAGAGACACAGAAAAACACACACTGGATTAGAGAGTATGTTAAGCATGCTTTGATTTTGCACTCATGATATGAATGTGGGGGGCATGCATTGGACATGTAGACACTCAGTCAGGGATGCAGGGGGTGGAAATAGTTGTTTTGTCATTGATACTGCTGTTAATGTTGAGGAGACTACAATACATGCAGAAGTTCAGTCTGTCATCATTAGCCAGGTAACTGGAGAGGAGTGTCTGAGTGCCAGGAAACTTACATCAATGTGCCTGTAGCTTCTGACCTCCTTCTTCTTCTGTGGTTTTAAAGGTTAGCTGTGACTTACTGGTGTATCTACTACCCTCTCTCATTGATTAGTTCAATCAATCAATCAACCAATCAATCAAGAAATCAAGCAATCAAGCAATCAAAAAATGTGTGTGGTCCTAAATTGACATTGGTGATAATCATTTTAAAGGGAGGAGAGGGAGGAGGAGGAGGAGGATGGGAGGAAGGAAGGTGAGCCAAGCAATTAATTAATATCTGGTTGATTATTGTTTTTGCATGTGGCCACTGAATGGTCCAGTATCCCTCCAGCTCAAACAACTGAATGAATTATGGTTACTAGTGTTATTAGTAGTAGTACTAGTATTAGTGGAAATGGTAGTTGCGGTTGTAATAACGGTTACAAGCAAACGTTGTTATGGAGGAAGAAGACTGTTTATTTAGATATTGAATCCAAAACCTTCCTATCAAAAGTCTTAAGTCCTGAGTGTTTAGTTAATTCTGATACAGTCCTGATACATTCAACTCTGAGAGCTGTTCCTAGAGACCATAGAAAACACTCTAGGTGAGGTTGGTGATGCTGAACCATTGAAAAAGAAATATGCAGCACTCCAATGGTTCAATCTCAACACTCATTCATTAACCAGTAATTAAACATGCATGGATAATAGATAGGTATTGAAATTGCATTTTTTGAGTGCTCTCCATTGATTATCTGCGAGGATCCAGCACCTAAGTATTTTTTCGAATAACTTTTGAGTGAGAATGTTGTTGTTTATCATCTGATGCTGGACCATATCCTGAGTGGGCAGTGGGCACACACATAAACCCATCCATGGTGGATGGTGGTTGCATTAGATGAGTGGTGATGGTGATGGTGATGGTGATGGTGATAGCCCCCATAGCCCTAGCAGGGTGGGTTTAGGTATGCTGGGCTGCTACTGTGGCTGTACCTTGTATTGCTTGGCGATGTTCTGCTTGTGGTTCTCCTCCACCTGTCTGAACTTGGTCTCCAGACCTCTCAGCTGCACCTCCATCTTCTCCACATACTGCAGGTCTCTCTGGGTCCGCTGGTCCAGCACCTGGATGGACTGGGTCATGTTCTGGACCTATCACAGGGGGGAACAGTGACACATGAAAATGGGTATGCATACACTCAATATGGCCACGGATTCATCCATCACAAAACATTGACTTTAATGAATGTTTCTATAGTATGGGCTCAGAGTCTGTGGCGATGAATAGGTTGAGACAGGGTGCTGCTGTCGTAGTGGCTTGTCTGGGGCTGCTGTCCATGTCAAATCAAATAGTCCGGGTAGCCATTTGATTACCTGTTCAGGAGTCTTATGGCTTGGGGGTAGAAGCTGTTAAGAAGCCATTTGGACCTAGACTTGGCGCTCCGGTACCGCTTGCCATGCGGTAGCAGAGAGAACAGTCTATGGCTAAGGTGGCTGGAGTCTTTGGGCCTTCCTCTGAAACCACCTGGTATAGAGGTCCTGGATGGCAGGAAGCTTGGCCCCAGTGATGTACTGGGCCGTACGCACTACCCTCTGTAGTGCATTGCGGTAGGAGGCCGAGCAGTTGCAATACCAGGCAGTGATGCAACCAGTCAGGATACTTTCGATGGTGCAGCTGTAGAACTTTTTGAGGATCTGAGGACCCATGCCAAATCTTTTCAGTCTCCTGAGGGGGAATAGGCTTTGTTGTGCCCTCTTCACGACTGTCTTGGTGTGTTTGGACCATGATAGTTTGTTGGTGATGTGGAAACTTGAAGCTCTCAACCTGCTCCACTACAGCCCCGTTAATGTGAATGGGGGCGTGCTCGGTCCTCCTTTTCCTGTAGTCCACAATCTGTGAGGTAAGACGTGACAGGTCATTGGTGTTGCTGTGGACATTATGTCACCATAGTTACCTTTTCCAGCAGTTGCCTCAGCTGTTTGGTGCGGGCGTCTCGTGAACACATGGACTGCTGCGGTGCCACCACGGTGCACACACACCTCCCCTCACTGTCCTGGGCAGAACTGTACACCTGCCATGACTCCTCTGGGTTCACTGGCAACACCTGGAGGAGAGCGATGGAGGGAAGTAGGGACCAAGAAAGGGAGAGAGAGAGAGAGAGAGAGAGAGAGAGAGAGAGAGAGAGAGAGAGAGAGTCAGACAGAAGCGAGAAAGAAAATGATGTAACAATGTGGGAAAGAGAGAAAGAAGAGGACGGAATAGAGAGAAAATGGGAGAGTGTGTGAGAGAGGTGAGAGAAGTGAGAGAGGTGAGAGAGGTGAGGTAGGTGAGAGAGGTGAGAGAAGTGAGAGAGGTGAGAGAAATGAGAGAGGTGAGAGAGGTGAGAGAATTGAGAGAGATGAGAGAGGTGAGAGAGGTGAAAGAGGTGAGAGAGGTGAGAGAGGTGAGAGAATTGAGAGAGGTGAGAGAGATGAGAGAGGTGAGAGAGATGAGAGATATGAGAGAGGTGAGAGAGGGATAAAAAGAAATGAGGAGGGGATGAAAGGAAAAAACAAGAGAAAACAGATGAGACAAGAGAATAACAAAAGCATTCATCCTATAATCCAATTGTCAGGGATTTGTTGACTAAAGTATTCTACCCCACCCATCCTCGCCTACTCTCTGACTGAATAGGCTTATTTTAGCAGTACGTTTCAATCACACAGTGTAGGCTTGTGGTGACGTGCCGCACCCGTTGCAGTGGTGGAGTGGAGTCGTGTGTTAAAACCCTCACTACTACATAGATATTTTCTCGCAACAGCCAGAGCTTACATAACGTCAGTCTGTGGGATGCACACGCATGGCGCCATCTGGTCACGATGAGAACCATTCAACTCCTCCCCACCTCCCACCCCGCTCCATCAAATCATCAAATGCCATCAGAGGGGAACGGCAGCCTATCGAACTGGTCGAGACTTGTCCAAATACTCATCTATGTACATTATCAAAGTTATTGGTGTCCAATTATAAAACAACACGAATAGGAGGTATGAGATTGTCAAGACTAAACAATCAACACAGTCCACACTGAGACTGGGCCAAGACTTGGTATACAGAATCCTACAACACTCAAGAGGTCGTCATTGAATGCTGAATGTGGTGCTGATGATGGTCTCACAGCTAATGAACCACAATCTGATAGGCATCTGACAGCAGTGTTGATTGACATGTCACTGTCCTTGTCCCTGAGTGATTAACAAGTTGAGGCCCAGTAATCACACAGCCTGTCAGTCAAAGAGTCCTGCTGCATATGTATCCTCAGGTCTAATGGTATAGGTCTGGTGGCACGAACACAGGAAATAGCCAATACATATCGGCCTTGGTCGTCTGAAGTCTGAAGGCACTTCCCTCCTATTCAGTCTCTTAAGACATAGAATATCTGCCTGATTAATCTGAAATATTAGCACTTCCATTACCACTGTACATAAAAGCCAACAGCATCCTGATCCTGAATCCACACACTCATTCCACAATCTATCGTTCTACTGTAGCCTACATCATGACCAACCAATTCCAATGGTGAACATTAATCTAAGTGCATTATGATATGTCTGGCATACTACTGAGAGTGAATGGATATAGTGCTTGGATCCTGTTTCAGTCATCACTGTACATCCTATCCTATAAGTTAACCAAAAATGTCACCAATAATGTACTTAAAATATGGTAAATTAATTGAAAATACAACTATTTGAATGTTTAAAACCAACTGGCAACCTTTTCATATTCACTTCACAGGGCCATTGACTGAATATAGTGGTGGATTACTAGGTATGTACTGTAGTACTCTACTACTCCACTAGCTTCTCCCATCATTAGGACTGGATCACCACGAAAGACAGGTTCATTTGGAGGAAGCTTTTATCAATAATCCCATGGGAGTACAGATCAGAGAGAGCAAAGCACTCCACCCTACTGATCTTTAGTACTATGTAATAACGCAACATTCTGTCCATCTGATCATCACATAATAAGCTAAAATGACTAGGTAGGCACAGGGATATTTATTAATTACAGTGCAGCCTTTACATTGAAGCAGATTGTATTGTTTAAAAAAAAGGACACTATTGAAATTGTATATGTTGTAATCAAATAGCTTTTTGCCAAAAATGTAACCCATGAATGGTTTCTTAGTCAACCTTAATGCGTAAAATATCTCACAAAGTATTAGACTATTTATATTTTATAATAATTATAATAATTTCCTTTGATTAACCAAAAGGTCAGATTGCGCTTGACAAAGAGATAAAGACAAGAAGCAATATGCCCCGCGTAATAAAATGACCCATTTTTACTCTGGTGCGCCTTTCATTTGATAATCAGAGACCCCACTGAACTGAGGGTGCCTTGCTGCCGGGGACAAACAGGAACCCAGCTGACTTCACTGGAAAGGTCTGGATGCGAAATTTCGTTTTCACTTCATTTTTACCTTGCAGCGTTTTATCAATGACAGCATCCAAACAAACCCATTGTCGCGCTCAGTCTCCACCGCGCTCCCTTGTTCTCCTCCACCTCTCACAATGCAGCGCGCTCCCACGCCACTCCTCGAAAATACTGTAACCTACAACCGGACTATCTCGCTCTCCGTCTCTATATCTATCCAGCGAGATATCAAGCTGAGAGAGGCGATATTAATCATGCCTCTCAAATTCTATTTTCTCTAAGATCTGACAAGCAACAAGGCGCTGAAAACATAGGCAGCACAACATAAATACTAGTGACCCTGTCAAGCAAAAAACAAGACATTTTGGAGGAGACAATAGCCTAATAACCCTATTATACTTTTAATAATTCATGAACCAAACATGCGAGCGAATAACAGAACATCTTCCAGCCAGGTAAATAATGGTAGAGAAACCCATTATTTTTAATGCAGCCAAAATGAACCCACGGGAAGCGTAAAGTTGCGGTGCCACTTACTCCGGTGCTCCTGTCCGGGTAGCCTGCCCTCTCCGCGGTGAGCTTGGTGGTGTTGAGCCCCACTAGCGAGGGCAGTGTCTGCGACATCCAGTTGGTGATCATCGCCATGGTGCTCAGCACAACGCCGATCTTCAGCAAAGGCACCGACATCTCTGCACTCTGCGTTTAACCCAAACCAGCTTCATTCTATTTCAGCACAATCCGGCGAGAAACGAGCAAGGCAATCCATGTTGCCTAGTGAAGCCATAGCCTGCTGGTGTAACACCCGTATCCCCGGTTCGGTCGGTCGTTCCTTGGACATCACTGGTGAACGGCTGAATGGTTCGGAGTTGGAAAAAGCCCGGAGGAGCAGGTTTGCAGGTAGAGATGAAGAAAATAAAATGTATCTGGATGGGTATCTCTTTCTCTGTGCTGTCCCGCGCTCTGGTGGCTTTCCCGTTCTCGGTTCCTCTTTAGTTCACGCCCTCCGTTTGCCTCCTGACTCGCACGCTCCGTGATTAAGTGCTAGTGACTACACACAGGCTGTTCCAAAAGGCTGAGGGAGGGAGGAGGTGCCTACGGATCCATAGCAGCGCGAGCAACGCGCAACGGTGATGTCAGCCAGGTTCGTCCTGCCTGCTGCTCGAGACGCCCTTCCCCGTGCCACCGGGGGTCCGTGGCTGCCTGGCTGGTATGATCTCGGATTGCGAGTTATTATCCCCGGGGGGATTGGGCAAAGAGCAGTTTCGGGTAAGGTCGCGCCACTCATCCGGTAGCGAGAAGGCCGGGGCAGGTGACATTTTTCTCTCCCCAACCCGCGCGAGCTGTTGGGTTACCTAGAATAACTCAACATGACGTTAATTTAATGAACAACCCCATGTATTAAAGTCCATTATTATTTTATTTAATGAAGTTGAGCTAGGCAATAAGGATCATAGATATATGCATACTGGAGCACACAATAAGGATAACAACAATTTATCATCCCAAATGCATTAATACACATCAACAATTTTAACACAAAACATGTATGTCTTTATTTTAAAAAATACCCACAGCGCGCACCTATCATCATCAGCACTGCGTTAGAGTATAAGGTAAATTGACGCGATGTAGGCCTATGTGAAAGACTCTGGCGCCATCGTGTAGCTACTTTAGGTGTTTCTGGTAAATCAAACTATCTTAAAGAGACAGTAGGCATAATATTGTTCGTTAAATAGCCGCGCACATCACATGAATGTCACAACCCAATTTAAGTGTGTTATCTCTCTCTCTCTCTCTCTCTCTCTCAATTCAATTTCAATTCAATTCAATTCAATTGAAGGGCTTTATTGGCATGGGAAACGTGTGTTAACATTGCCAAAGCAAGTGAAGTAGATAGTAAACAAAAGTGAAATTAACAATAAATATTAACAGTAAACATTACACTCAGAAGTTTCAAAAGAATAAAGACATTTCAAATGTCCTATTATGTATATATACAGTGTTGTAACCATGTGCAAATAGTTAAAGTACAAATGGGAAAATAAATAAACATAAATATGGGAAGAATTTACAATGGTGTTTGCTCTTCACTGGTTGCCCTTTTCTTGTGGCAACAGGTCACAAATCTTGCAGCTGTGATGGCACACGCTGTGTTTTTCACCCAGTAGATAAGGAGTTTATCAAAATTGGGTTTGTTTTCGAATTTTGTGGATCGCTGTAATCTGAGGGAGAATATGTGTTCTGCTTAATATGGTCATACATTTGGGCAGATAGGAAGTGCAGTCATTTTCCATCTCATTTTGTGGGCAGTGTGCACATAGCTGTCTTCTCTTGAGAGCAGTCTCGTCCGTAGTCATTCTCGTCATCTCCATTGTGCTGCTCTCTCATCCTCTCTCTCTCTATCTCTCTCCTCCCTCTCTCTCTCTCTCTCTCTCTCTCTCTCTCTATCTCTCTCTCTCTCTCTCTCCTCTCTCTCTCTTCTCTCCCTCTCTCTCGTCTCTCTCCCCCCCCCCCACCCTGAGTGTCTGTATTATACTCGGTGAGGAAGATATCTACTGGATGAACACCAGAGTGTGTGAGAGAGACCATAAGAGACTGGAAGAATGAAGATCAAGAAGGAAAATCACTAGTGAACTCATACCTCTTCAACAAATATACCACATCAGAATTGCCACACCACCAATATGACACACCAGCATCTCAGAGTAGGAGTGCTGATCCAAGATTACATGGACAGGGTTACATTTACATTACATTTTAGTCATTTTTATGAAAAAAGTATGAAAAAATGTATGCACTCACTAACTGTAAGTTGAATACCTGTTCCTAGATCAGCGCTCATACTCTGTAGGCCCAATACCTGTCCACTTCTTTTTTCCCATCACCTTGTGAATATTTTGAACCCTCCCTTTAACAATTAGGATAATTTTACTCAATAAATATTTGAATTACAAAGCAAAGGGGGGATCTGTCTCATGTAAACATTGTGAAGAATCAGAGCACCGAGCAGAGCATTACAACGGTTGTCTAGTGCTCCACCTATAGGTTTAGCTGTAATACTGCAAGATATTACATCAAGACCCCAAATATCCACAGTGCTATATGGGCTATTTCTGTCCTCGCAGTAATGCAGTATACTGATATAAATAAAAGACTCACTCTCCCATTCTCTCTCTATTTCACCTTCCCTTTCCCGCTCTCTCCCTCATTTTTTATATTTTTTACATTTTAGTCCTTTATTTTTTATTGGTCATTTAGCAGACGCTCTTATCCAGAGCGACTTACAGTTAGTGAGTGCATACATTTTCATACTGGCCCCCCGTGGGAAACGAACCCACAACCCTGGCGTTGCAAGCGCCATGCTCTACCAACTGAGCTACAGGGGACTAACACTCTGTATCTGTATCTTTGTCTGTCTCTGTCTCTGTCTCTCTCTTACTCTCGCTCTCTCTCTGTTTCTTTGTGTCTCTCTTTGTCCCCCCAGTTTAACATATGTACACTAGTACAACTCTGTGATGATAACTAACTTTCAGAGTTTCACTCACATTGATTTATGAATAAATCAAATCCCAGTTGTCAATCACAACATAATGCAGTGCAGCTGCAGACCCAATCCATCTTTCTCTCCATCTTTCTCTCTGTCCCAAGAACTGAATTGATTATAGTGTAAACTTTACATTATAAACACATCTATCTCTCTCTCTCTCTCTCTCTCTCTCTCTCTCTCTCTCTCTCTCTCTCTCTCTCTCTCTCTCTCTCTCTCTCTCTCTCTCTCTCTCTCTCTCTCTCTCTCTCTCTCTCTCTCTCTCTCTCACTCTCTCTCTCTCACTCACTCTCTTCTTCCTTTCCCTTACTGACGTGTACAGTTGTTGATGTATGTGTTAAGTAACTTGAGTGCATTCTCATGTGTCTATGAGTGAGTCTGCATATGTTTGCATAAGTGGGAGTATGTTATATATCTCTCTGAGTAAGCCTGTAACTGTGTGTGGGCTTGTGTTTGTTTGTAGATGTATGATGACATGCAGAGGTTTGCACTTTTCTGCAGGTGGAGGGAGAGATGGGGGAGAGATGGGGGTAATGGTGGAGAGAGAGGTGGAGGGAGAGGTGGGCCTGAAACCTTGAGGGTTACAGAGTGCTGTTATGCTACTGTAACAGCAGCAGCTGCTTATCAGGTCTCTGTGAGAGGGCAGGGAGAGTTGGGTCTAAAGCTGCCATGCAGGGAGATGTAGTGGGCTTGAAGCCTTCAGGGAGCTGCCAAGGGAACAGCTGGCCCTTCTCTGCATAACTGACAAGCTGAACCAAAAACAAAAACAAAACAACAACAACAAACACTGCCCTCACTATAGTATCTCTGCTTCAAAAACATGTTCATTAAGAAACACAACAAATACTGCCCACACTAGCTATGCTTCAAACATGAAGGACTTTTGGAATAAATACTGCCGCTTCAAACATGAAGGACTTTTGGAATAAATACTGCCCACATACTCATTAAGGTCTGACTGCAGCCCAAGACCAGGTAAACTCCAGGGAAGAACCACCCAGGGAAACCAATCCCCCTCTTTGTCGCCACAGATGGTTTGTTTACATAGCAGGTTAGGATAATTAACATGGCAGCTTAGAATAACTAATGCAGCAGGTTAGGAGAATGAGGTTAAGGTTAGGAAAACGGTTACGGTTAGGCTTAGCTACGTTACTACAGTTGACCCATAAAATGAGGAAGTAGCCAGGAGCCAATAGAAAGAGAAACAAGAGGGGGCTTGGTTTCCCTGGGCGGTTCTTCCCTCGAGTTTCCCTGGATGCGGGCCACCTTCTCCACATACTAGCTATGCTCTGAATACATGTTCATTAAGGAACTCTGGCATACATACTGCTCTAGGGGCCTGAAGTGTATGCTAATATAATGATGTAAATGATGGAGGGGATCATCTGATGTGTTATGGTGGAAGATCTGTCAAGATGTGAGGAGGGATGTTGGTTATATTGGCTGAAGAATTGACAGTGTGTGTGTTTGCATCTGTCTGTCTGTCTGTATTTCTTTCTTTCTGTTTCAGTGTGTGTGTGTCTTTGTGTGGCTGAGAGAAAGTGAGTGTGTACATGAGTGTGTGATAGAGAGAAACAGAGAGAGAGATAAAACAACAGATGATGTCCATCATTGTGACTTGTTGTTGTCCTACTCCAGACCAAAGCACCTGACACAAATCATCCTCCACCGTAGAAATAACCAAATCAAATCAAATCAAAATTGATTTGCCACATGCGCCGAATACAACAGGTGTAGACATTACCGTGAAATGCTTACTTACAGCCCTTAACCAACAATGTATGTATTTTTTAATAAAAAAGTAAAATAAAACAACAACAAAAAAGTGTTGAGAAAAAAAGAGCAGAAGTAAAATAAAATAACAGTAGGGAGGCTATATACAGGGGGGTACCGGTGCAGAGTCAATGTGCGGGGGCAGCGGCTAGTTGAGGTAATATGTATATGTGGGTAGAGTTAAAGTGACTATGCATAAATAATTAACAGAGTAGCAGTAGCGTTAAAAAAAGGTGTGGTGGGGGTGGGGGGGCAGTGCAAATAGTCTGGGTAGCCATGATTAGCTGTTCAGGAGTCTTATGGCTTGGGGGTAGAAGCTGTTGAGAAGCCTTTTGAACCTAGACTTGGCGCTCCGGTACCGCTTGCCGTG